TTCTTTTAATTCAGGTGTTTGAAACAGCATATCACAGCATTGCACTTTTCATTCACAAAGGCAGAAGCAACAGTTCACAAATAAATAAATAAAACGTTTGAACTTGTTCTGCTGAATTTCAAATCAGTGTCTAATTATTTACCTTAATTACTGAGGCAATGCTGAATAAATTAGCTGTAAAAGGATGAACCATGCATGATTGCACACCTAGAACATGCATTTTAAGTACACAGCCTCATTGGTTTTCAATTGTACTTAAAAGAAAATTATATCATTTCCTTTTTTCTCTCTCCATTATTTAGATATTCTGATGTGTAAGTTTCCTCAGGTGGCTTCCTCATTTATTCCAAATGTTAATTATTGATGTGGCTGCACAGAATACTGAGAAAAATAGCTGTATTTACATGAATAGTAAATACTCTTCTGGGTAATATTTCTATATCCTTTGGCCTTGTTGTTGTTTAATTGTTAAGTCGTGTCTGACTCTTTGTGACCTCATGGACCAAAGCACGCCAGGCCCTCCTGTCTTCCACTGCCTCCCAGAATATGGTCAAATTCATGTTCGTACCTTCAATGATACTTTACAACCATCTCATCCTCTGTCATCCCCTTCTACTCTTGCCTTCACACTTTCCCAACATCAGGGTCTTTTCCAGGGAGTCTTCTCTTCTTATGAGATGGCCAAAGTATTGGAGCCTCAGTTTCAGGATCTGTCCTTCCAGCGAGCACACAGGATTGATTTCCTTCAGAATGGATAGGTCTGTTCTCCTTGCAGTCCAGGGGACTCTCAAGAGCGTCCTCCAGCACCACACTTCAAAAGCATCAATTCTTCGGCGGCCAGCCTTCTTTATGGTCCAGCTCTCACTTCCATACATCACTGCTGGAAAAACCATAGCTTTGACTATGCCGACCTTGGTCGGCAAGGTGATGTCTCTGTTTTTTAAGATGCTGTCTAGGTTTGTCATCACTTTCCTCCCAAGAAGCAGGCGTCTTTTAATTT